GGGAGCCTTCCGAAGTTGTCTTGCAGCGGAACAAAGCAGGAGTGGAGATGGTGACCAGCATCATAACTTTGGCAATCATGCTTTCTTCTGATCCAGTAATTTTCTCACTCTCCCATGCCTAGCAGCAGCTGCAACAGCTGAAGCTCCCTCCATGTCTACCAGGCTTTAGAAAAATAGGTATCCATCTTGCCCCGTGCGGAGGGGAAAAGAAGGTGAAACCACATGGAATAATTCCACCATGGCGACCAACTCTGTGCCTTCAGTATCATAAAATACGAGGAAAAGTGGGGTGTGAGTAACACTTCACTTCTGTTATGGAATCATAGAAGACGTTCAGTGGAATAATATAGTCCCTGCATGAGCTGTTAAGAGTCTGGGAGATCAGTGTGGGGCTCTTTAACCTTTCCTGGCAGAACCGTCAAAGTGAGGAATTAAATTCCTACAGCCATAATTTTTATGGGAACTTTCCCCTTTTTGTGGCTGGATGGTTTTCAGAAGTCTTTGATCCCTTATCCTGGAAAACAGAGACTCTCTTAAGAAACTGTGCAAGAAAAGAAGGCTATGGGGGAAAAAAAGAAGATGCAGAGCTGCCGGGAGGGAGTGAGCGACAACGTGAAGGGCCAAGGTAGAGGAGGAGAGCAGTGAGAATTTCCCCACCATGTGAGTGAGCGACACCGTGAAGGGCCAAGGTAGAGGAGAGCAGTGAGAATTTCCCCACCATGACAATATTTCCTATGCGTACACCTCTGAGCGAGCGGGACTTCTTGCCTACTTGCTATTATCTCCTCAAAATGGCTTTCTAGTAAAGACAAACTGCTGTTTAAACTTGTGCTATAACATGGCAAGGTCTGGGATTAGCATCTACCAAAACGCAAACACTTATCTTTAAGGCAGAGAAATACAGTGTGAACATAGGTGGTGGGAAAAAGAAAATAACCTCGTTTTTATATCCATGTGGGAAATTTCCTTGCAAACTATGTGTACAACAGATGGCAGGCATTTTGAAAAGATACATGTATTAATTGAAAAACTACTAATCAAGGAGGCAAGTACTGCAGCTCCCTATGTAGAGAGGTACTGTTCTTTCGGTAGGTTTCAAGGAACAATGCCACTTATTTTCCTGGCATCACTTCCTGGGCTTTTAACAACTGCCAGATAGGCAAGATCAGGAAGTGGCATATTTTTGTATTACTGTCTCTTCATTGCAGGGAAGTGTTAACCTCTTACTATTTTGTTGCTCTGGTTGCTACTAGAGCATGAGAGGCAGGTGAAAGGAGAAGGTAGCAGACCAAGCGTTCACTATGTTAACATAGCGTGAAAAATAGACTCTCCTAAAAAGATACTATGGATAATTTGAGCAGTGAGTCCATTGTGAAAGCAAGTATTTTTGTGCAATCAAGCTCTTACAGGATCTCATGATCATATTTGCAGTCATGATTGGATTTCCTGAGTGCTGATAGGATAACCATTATGTTAGTTACATTTTATCCTAAAGCAAAGCAAAGCATGCTGCTTATCTAATGTCCCCTAGTGCTTAAAGCACTCTCTGGGTGGTTTACAATTTACAGTAGTGCCCCGACTTGAGAACGTCCCTACATGAAAACGATTCAAGTTAAGAACAGCCCTGTTCAGAAAAAATTTGCTTCGACTTGAGAACAGAGCCTGGCCCCGTTCAGAAAAAAATTGCTTCGACTTGAGAACGGAGCCTCAAACCAAAAAAAGAGGGGGGGAAATACCTTTCCTGCAATTTTTTTGACCTAAGTTCACCTTAGGTCTAAAAAAGAATTTTTTAAAAAAACAAATCACCCCCTAGCAGTAGATACAAATTAACCGGCTTTGTGACTTAAGAACAGTGTCTCGATTTAAGAACGAAAAACAGCAGGTATAGATTAAATGGTTTTCAATGCATTCCTATGGGAAATGGTGCTTCGACTTAAGAATGTTTCAATTTAAGAACGCAGTCCCAATATGGATTAAGTTCCTAAGTCGAGGTACCACTGTAATTATGCAGGCTATACATGGCTCTCCCCCAGCAAACTGGATACTCAGTTTACCGACCTTGGAAAGATGGAAGGCCGAGGCAACCTTGAACCAGCTGAGTCTATCAGGATTAAACTCAGGTCATGAACAGAGTCCTGACTGCAGTACTGAAGTTTAACAACTGTGCCATGAGGCATCCTTCCCTTTTCAGAGGAAAACTATAGAGCCCTGATTTGCTATGATCCTATGCCCATAACAAAAGATCCCCATTCGCCTTTTCATTTTTTTTGTTAAATTTCATGTCTTTGGGTCAGTGCTCAATGATGTTTAACCAGATGTTTATTATAAGATCAGCCTCACACAAGCCGGTGTCCTCTTGATGTGAGAGACTTTAATGAGTCTCTCACTCATCACCAACCAGGACAGATGGGCAGGTTGGGGATGCTGGGAGTTTAATCCTGCACATCTGGAAATAAAATGTTCAAAAGTGAAAAACTGAGCCAAGGAGCCTGCTTGGTGGGAGAGGGGAAATAGGAGGAGGCAGATCAAGATCCAGTCCTTGTTTTTTGTCCTTTCAGAACCATGAATAATTCCCAGACAAGTGCAGCTTGTCCTCTCTGCAGGAATGTCATGGCAGGGAAACCTGGAGCCTTCTGTATGTTGCTAGGTACAACTCCCATCAACTCCGACAGCATTGCTAATTAGCATGGGTTATGGGAGCGGTCCATGTCATGTTGTGGATAGAGAGAGACTAGGACTCTGTAGGACCTGGGTTCAAATCCCCCCTCAACCATGGAACCTCTCTGAGGGATAGAACTGGTAACCTTTCCTTAAACATCTCACTTACCTTGAAAGCTCCATTAGGGATTGCTATTAAGTCAGTTCTGATTTGACAGTACACAATGGGTCACATTCCTGTCTACACTGGATTGTTTTTCTGAAATCACACTGAACTGTGACAGAATGCTAGGCACTGCCCTGTAAATAGATGTATTTCAGCCTGTTACATCTAGATTACTGTTAGGTACTGTACCACAGTAATGTGGGATTTGCCAAAGCCTTACCTGCAAGGAAGACATAATGTTGTTGCAGGTTCTGGGTGTCACTGCTAATGGAAGAAAAAAAAATATATGATTTTAACAATCCATGGTATTATCTTTTACAGGCATAATACTGCCTTCCGGCAGGTCTTCCACGTTGCCAGCTCAGGAAGTGGCCCTGGAAATTAAAAGGTTCCTTCCATGTTCCCTCCAGACTGCAGCCTTCCCCTGACAGGTGTCTTCCAGTTTTGGATTACAGCTCCCAGCATCCCCAGCGATAACTCAGGGGCAGTGGGAGTTGTAGCCCACCATAATATGCGGCCTCTCCAAATTTTGTAAGGGATCCTCAGCGTCATCGCTAACCAGTGTCTGTACTGACTGGATAAGGCTGAGGGCGATTGGAGTAGTCCAACAACAAAACCCACAACCCTGTTCCAGGAGGCAGTCAGCCCCTCCCCTTCATCCTTTCTTCCACAGTCTTGTGGTACAGTGTGGGGTTCTGTCTTTGTGTGAGGCTTTGAACCGGCAGACAACATCCACCTGAACTTGTTTGGCCTCTACGGAGGTAGGCTCAGAGCAGCCTCTTTTGAGCTCTTTCTGTTTCTAAATGGGGATGGTGGTATGCCTATTTTTTAGAAACCACTTCTGATTTTAAAGACCTAGATTTCTGCTGAATCAAGGTTCCCCTCAAGTTTCATCAGGAACACACATTTTGCGCGATTAAATGCAGAACTATATAATTTTCCTCAGTGATTCTTTTTAGGTTTTGTTTCTCACATGATCAGATCCTGAAGGTGATTTGTGCATTCTGTCTGTGAAAGAGAATAAACTCTGCGAATACGCAGAATAAACTCCATTCGTAGCCTATTATTTGTAAATAGTTTTTAATGCTTTGAAGGAAGGAGCTGTGTTACTTTTGTTTTGTCAAAATGGAGAAAACCATCGTATTTAGCAGAAAAAGGAAAAGGTAGCCAAGGAAAATTTCTGTACTCAGGCCCAAAATCACTCTCAAAGGGCATTGATACAGCTGTGTAATACATAATTCAAGTACAACTTACAACCTCTTGTTATAAAGCAACCAAGAAGAACTTGATGCTCCCAATTTTGTGTCACCTCCTTTTAAAGGCCTTCTCACATTCTGGATGTTCAACAAAGCTCTCAAGTTACTCTACTAGAAAAAGCTGTTGTGAAGTAAAATAACCAACTGGTGTTAGTTTAAAAAACATGTTCAAAGTCCATAAAACATTGACACCTAATCTTAATTTGTACCAAGCCATCAGCTTGAATACTCAATTTTTGGATGGGGGAGGGGGGGAAGGAACATACACACTTAATGAATTTAAAGATGTAAAGAGCAGACATGCTCTCAGATTAGTGATCCCTTCAAAACCATTAATGGGAAAGTGGTCAGAGGCAAGATGAAGATATTTTAAGCCACCTCTTTAATTATTTCCCCAGCTGAGAAGACCAGTGATTGAAATCCTATTGTGTTTTCACACAGGTGTAATGTGATTAGTACAAATCTTGGCAATTTATGACACAAAATTTATGGCTCTGCACCTGAGCAAAAGCCTGGGTTACTTCTTAAGCTGTGGAAATTTGCTGCAATATGTCAGCAAGTGCAACTAATAGGATTTTGGCCTGTGAAATATTCCTGCCTTCACCTGTGCTGCTGGAAACCAAAATCATAGTACCTGGGAAGAGAAACCTGGGAGGAGTGTTGCCCTGTTTCTGAAACTCTCCTCAGGCATCTACTTTCTCTTCATCACCAGGTAAAGAGACCTTTTGTCCTGTCCTCCCTCCGCCCGCACCACATGGCATTTAATTATTAAATGGTGATTTTGCTTTACCCGTGCTAGGGATTTTTACTCCTATTTATTATTATTATTTTTTGCATTTAAGCTGCCAAGAGAATACTAGTATTGAAACACGAATTTGACATATAAATCAGTGAAGAATCTGTAAATAAAAGACACAGAATAGACAAAAGCAATTTATTTGGGACCATTAAGTACCATATTTCTGCCAAAAGAGAGTTTGAGGTAAATTCAATTGAACTAAAAAAAAACTGCACTGTAATTTCAACATTTCCACACTCTTGGCAGGACCGCCACTTAATCAGGTTAATTTATTTAAAGAGGGAAGGGGAAAAGTGGCCTGAATCCCATTTCCCTGAGACGGTGCCAGTATCTACAGTAGGTGAACAAGGCCTGTGTGCTAACCCCCACCCCACCCCTGCAAGCAGGCAATCTACTGGACTGCCCCGCCATTTCCTCTGCCTCTTTTGCAAGGAAGAACACCGAACATATTTTTTTTATTGATTCCACTGAGATTCACCCACACAACATGAGGAAGGCACAAACCCACTGCTCCCAAGGAGAGCACAGTATTCTTGCTGGTTTTAGTGGGAGTGAGGTGGTGCCTCACCTTTTCTGGCCAGCTTCTAAAGTCACCTCCTGCCCATGAGTTGCTATGGCACCAGCATGTACACACAGTGGGACTGCTGGTTACCAGCCCATCTAGGCTCTGTTCCTCTGGGGGGGGGAACCAAAAATCTGAGAACCAAGGCAGATCTTGGTGTTGGCTTCAAGAGAAAAAGAAAAGAACGCCTTGAAGTAGCTTCAGTTGCTTGGGTGAAGGCTAGGCGGGTGGCCTTCCTCTTAGAAATGTCCTGCTTCCTTCCTCATCACTTTTGTGAGCTGCCTTGGGTTTCCCCACCAGGAGAGAAAAGCAGCCTAGAAATGAAACAAATAAACATCTTGCCAACACAAGGTAAGACTGTTCTTCCTTTCAGCAGCAAGAGGTGGCCTCTTTCCCAAAAGACCTGCTTCTGGTTTTTTTGAGGCTCCCAAACCCACTAGACTGGCCCTCTCACACAGCACCTCCTGGTTTGGGGAACCTGCTCTGAACATCTTCGTCTCACGGCTTGTTCGTCTCCTGTGGGAAAGTAAGTCCCAGAAGATGAAGAGTCTTCAGGAAAAATGGCGGAGGAGGAGCAGTGAGCACAGGGTTGGAAGAAGAGGAGCCGGCGGCCGGGAGGAGGAGCCGGTGCAGGTGGAGATGAAGCGGCAAGCGATGGACATGCCGTTGCTGGACACGGAGCCGGTTCAGGAGAGATTCTTCCAAGATCTGCCGAGAAGGGGACATGATGAGAGTGGAATGAATCACAACTGTACCCATTTGTAACAATGCAGTGTTTACAGTCCTGACCTGACTTTTGTTTAAACTGAGAGTCATATTTTACTCCGTGCAACATAAAAGGAAAGAGTGCCAAGATAGGGACTTCAGGCCAAGGCTAGACAGAGCAGGGACTTTTTAACTTGGAGAACTGGACATTTTGATGTCACTTGGGTCCAAAACAGATTCTATGGGATAAGTCTCACAGGTCACAATCTCCTTTGGATACTTAAAAACTTTTAAGACTGGCAAGCCCCATTCAGCTGTGTAAGAGCAGCATAGAGACCTGTTTTGTGCTTCTCTTTTTCCCCTCCCAGTAAATTTATACCAACTTAGTCAATGGGTTAGAATCAGAGGTCTCCAAAGTTTTCAGTGTGAGGGCTACATCCTATATTTTACACATTTTGGAGGGCTGAAGGAGGGAAGGGGACCCAAGAGATCCCCCACCCTCACTGTATTTTTCTCCCAGTTCCACAAAAAGATGTATACATTTTCATACCTATTCCTCCAATTGTATACCCTTTCTGCAAGTAATTATCCTTAATATAATTAACTTCTTATGCCCGGGCTGGATAAAAAGGCAAGAGGAGCTGGATGTGGCCCACAGGCCATAGTTTGGAGAACTCTTAGACTGAAGAGAGCAAAATAGTTCGGAGCACAGCACTCAATGCACTTCACAGTGGCTGTAGAGCAACCTGAGAACAGGGTGGTTCGAGCACAGCCTTCTGCTGGCTGAACCTGGCTGCAGTTTGCTGAGATTGTCATCAGAGGTCCTGCCCCTCCACAAAGAGGCCCTCCTCCAAGAGGCTTGAGTGGACCAGTCACTACACATGGCACACTGCAACTAAAAAAGCATAGGTTAAGGAACATCCGTCTCAAAGAGTGTGGCCTCGTGGAAGATCTCCTTTTTGCCACTGCTTACTGCTAGGGATGGAAAAAGCTATTTTTGACTTCTCCATTCATGAATTTCCTAAATGTAAGTATTTTTCTCCCAGTTCCACAAAAAGATGTATACATTTTCATACCTATTCCTCCAATTGTAAACCCTTTCTGCAAGTAATTATCCTTAATATAATTAAGGAAAATTAGGTAACTATAAAATCAGAGGATACTCATAGAATCATGGAGTTGGAAGGGACCGATAAGGCCACTGAGTCCAACCTCTGCTCAATGTAGGAATCCAAATCAAAGCAGATCTGATAGAGGGTTGGCCAATTTTCTGTTGAATGCCTCCAGTGTTCAAATATGTATCTTTATACATTTTCAGTAACATAGACACACTTTTCTCTAATATGGGGGAGAACATCACACATCTTGTGGATCTCATGCATTCCTAATGCCACTTTTTTGTGCACACCTCCAAAATCCTTCTAATCTTTTTTCACTAATTTTTTTTTAAGTCATTGAAATCTGGCAGCACATCTTCAGGAATGTTGCCCTGCCTTTATGGTACGAGCATTAGCATTATTTTATCCTATTTATTATTATTTATTTAACAGTTTTGCTTTTACTTAAAATTGCTGTTCCACATCTTCCTAATACCTCAATTGGCTATGGGTTATTAATCAGTGTATTTGCTTCCTGGAACATGGCTTCCATGATCTGTACTGACTGGACTGTTTGTTCTTTCCTTCCTACATGTCTTGATGGTTGGAAATTGTTTGGACAGAACAGAACCACAAAAATGCAGTGCTCTGAAGCCTCAACAGCACCTACCCACTGAGATACGTAAAAGGAAAGAACAGGCAGTTCAATCAACATGGAACTCATATTCCAGGAACTAAATCAGTAACATAGACACTCTGTTTATTCAGGCCTTCCCTCCAGTCAATATTCAATCTTTTTATTTTCTCTATTTATTTCTTATTTTATTTTTCTTATTTTATTTTTCTCATTTTATAAATTGTTTTGGAACTTATTTACGTAATAACCTTTGTGATACTTTTATTTGATGATTTATGTTGTATTGCAAGCTGCCTAGAGTGGTCACAAGACCAGATAGGCAGGGTACAAATGAAATCAATCAATCAATCAATCAATCAATCAATCAATCAATCAATCAATCAATCAATCAATCAATCAATCAATCAATCAATCAATCTAATATGGGGGAGAACATCACACATCTTGTGGATCTCATGCATTCCTAATGCCACTTTTTTGTGCACACCTCCAAAATCCTTCTAATCTTTTTTCACTAATTTTTTTTTAAGTCATTGAAATCTGGCAGCACATCTTCAGGAATGTTGCCCTGCCTTTATGGTACGAGCATTAGCATTATTTTATCCTATTTATTATTATTTATTTAACAGTTTTGCTTTTACTTAAAATTGCTGTTCCACATCTTCCTAATACCTCAATTGGCTATGGGTTATTAATCAGTGTATTTGCTTCCTGGAACATGGCTTCCATGATCTGTACTGACTGGACTGTTTGTTCTTTCCTTCCTACATGTCTTGATGGTTGGAAATTGTTTGGACAGAACAGAACCACAAAAATGCAGTGCTCTGAAGCCTCAACAGCACCTACCCACTGAGATACGTAAAAGGAAAGAACAGGCAGTTCAATCAACATGGAACTCATATTCCAGGAACTAAAAGCACTGATTAATGACGTCTTTATCCAATTAAGGGATATAAGTAAGGCACACGAATGGCAATTTTAAGCAAAAAATTACAACAAAAACAGTAAGCAACAAATATGTAAATAAAGGAAAACAAAAAGGAAATCTAGCTCTGCAAAGCCAGGAAAACATCCCTAAAACTGCTGGCCAAAATGAAAACTGGTCCTCAACTGCCTGCAGATCTCCATCGCCTGACACACATATTCTAGTGCTCAGGAAATTCTGGTTTGATAGCTTCATATTAAAATCTGAATGTCTTCTGCCCCATCTCTAACAGCTGCTTCGGCTCAAATGTGGAAAGACCTGCAATTTTTACAGCAGGTGGCTAGCAGGAGACGTTTTGCTCCGTCCCTAGGTTTGCCCATGATTGCTGTTGGGCTAAAAAGCAAATAGCTCTTACCTCCTGCTAACAGTATCATCATTATAAGAACATGAGAAGAGCCCTGCTGGATCAGGCCAAGGGCCCATCTAGTCCAGCTTCCTATATCTCACAGTGGCCCCACCAGAGGCCTCTGGAAGCCCACAGGACCACTAGATCATCATGAATTTTAACAAGTTGCAAGGGGTTACAGAGATGCGTACATATTCTAGTGCACAGCTCAGGAAATTCTGGTTTGATAGCTTCATATTAAAATCTGAATGTCTTCTGCTCCATCTCTAACAGCTGCTTCGGCTTAAATGTGGAAAGATCTGCAATTTTTACAGCAGGTGGCTAGCAGGAGACATTTTGCTCCGTCCCTAAGTTTGCCCACGATTGCTGTTGGGCTAAAAAGCAAATAGCTCTTACCTCCTGCTAAGAGTATCATCATTATAAGAACATGAGAAGAGCCCTGCTGGATCAGGCCAAGGGCCCATCTAGTCCAGCTTCCTGTATCTCACAGTAGCCCCACCAGAGGCCTCTGGAAGCCCACAGGACCACTAGATCATCATGAATTTTAACAAGTTGCAAGGGGTTACAGAGATGCGAAACATCAGCTTTTTTAGGTGGCTACTCCCAAAATCCCACAACTATCATGCTGTAAGATGCCAGTCCCCAAAACAAACATTTCCTACGTGTAATGTGTCACTTAAGCAATCCTAATTCCCCTTCCCTGATAACCTGCTACATTGCTCTAAAGCAGTGGTTTCCAACCTGGGGTCCCCAGATGTTCTTGGACTAAAACTTCCAGAAGCCTTCACCGCTGGCCGTGCTGGTCAGGATTTCTGGAAGTTGTAGACCCAAGACTGGGAACCACTGCTCTATAAAGGGAAGTCAGCCACCTTTGGTGCTCCAGACTTTGAAGATGAGAATTCTCCAAATAGCTCACNCGTGCTGGTCAGGATTTCTGGAAGTTTTAGTCCAAGAACATCTGGGGACCCAAGACTGGGAACCACTGCTCTATAAAGGGAAGTCAGCCACCTTTGGTGCTCCAGACTTTGAAGATGAGAATTCTCCAAATAGCTCACCATCGCCTCATCATTGTCTCAGGGTTCCGCAGTTGAAGCCGAAAGCTCCTGGAAGGCCAAAAGTTACACAGCCTTGCTCTGTATGTCTAATACCAAGAAGGGCAGCTTCACCTCCTCTATCCAGTACCTGTGTCCGTGGCAGGGTGCTCTCAGCTGGCAGAAGAAAAGGCTGCCCCAACACAGTCCCCACACGGGCAGAATATACATGGTCCCCTAGAACAGGGCTGAAGATCAGGGTCAGGTGCACCAGGAGCTGACTGGAAAAAACTGGCAGAGAAAGAGAGAAACAGGGAATGAGGAAGGGGAACCCAAGCGAGAACATTTCTACAGAGGGCCCCAGGCAAAAAAACATGCACGGCGTGGCCCTGAATTAAGACTCTGAAGCAGGACTGATAGAAAACCTATCCACCTCCTCCAAATAAAAGGAACCACGGCAGCCTGATTCTGCACCCGGGAACCCCAGATTTTGTACTCTGGATTTAGTAAACAAGAGGACACAGTTTGGGTTGCGTTACTCCCTCCACTTGTTGCAGATTAAGACTGCAGCTAAGAGAAGGAGAGATAAACTACCCAGAGAAGGCACGTCCCCCAATGAAAGGAAGATCTGGACAGCTCTCCTACGGATCCTCAGAGGTCATGCCCGTGTGCTTTGCATCCCTAAAAGGGTGGTGCAAACACAAAAGATCTTGTAGACTGGGTGGATTCAAAATGGGCAGAAACCTTTTGTGCCCACAGAACTGCCCCCAGGATGGCTGAAATAAGCTGGCAGAGGACGAAGAGGAGCAGGGAAGTTAGCTGACTTATCCAGATCCAAACCCCTCTTGAACCAAACTCACAGTCACTATGCTAGCCTAACAGGTCAGGATAAGAATAGTCTTCATTAATTCCCCAAATCCAAAGGCAAGGAGGAATATACCGTGTTTCCCCAAAAATAAGGCAATGTCTTATATTAATTTTTGTTCCAAAAATGCATTAGGGCTTATTTTCAGGGGATGTTTTATTTTTTTCATGTACAACAATCTACATTTATTCAAATACAGTCATGTCATCTTATTCTGGTTGCTGCACAAGGGTGGAGGGCAGGGTTTCACTTAACTGGGGCTTATTTTGGGGGTAGGGCTTATATTACGAGCATCCCGAAAAATCATACTAGGGCTTATCTTCAGGTTAGGTCTTATTTTTGGGGAAACAGGGTAGATTCAGTAGAGCTTCAAGCTGGCTTAGTGCCAGGTGAGCTAGCCCTCAACCAGCGTAGCAAGTGAGGCTTTTGTCTTCAAGCTTTCTGCAGCAGACAGAGCCACGAGCACTGCAGCACCTTACAAACCAATATTAATTATAGTCTGACTCAACTACAAAGCACCAACACTCGTGTATTGAGTCTTTCAGATGTCATGGCATTCTTCGCTTCTCTCCACCCTTTATTGCGGTCTACTTTATCACCTCTGGCAGCCATCCGTTTCTCCACTTGTTTTGCCCCCCCCCAAGGCCCTTCCCCGTCAATCCCAGGCAGTTCCTACTCCGTCTGGCCTCTGCAACACACACCCGTCATTGGCTGCAGCTGCAGCAACGCACAGCCTTCTCGGGAGTCCAGCACCTTATATTGGGTCAGTGTGTTCTTCACCTCTTTCCTTTTGATGCTTCGATGGGAAGGAGAAGCCACTGGCACCACCTGCACATCACACACAGAGACCACGAGTTATTGTACTTCCTAACAAGCAAGCCCAGGTCCTCCCTACCCCCCGGTCCGAGCCGCTAGACCCCAGTTGGGGGGCCAGGTCAGACAAGTTAGGACTCTTGGAATACCACAGTTGGTCCTGAAAGTACTCAACTTCTCCCTACACGGGAAAAGCAGCAAACGTGCCAGAGCAGCTTTCTCCATCCCTTGCTGGGATGCTGCACCACCTCTTCCATCATCCCCAACCACCCGCTATGTTCTCTGCGGTAGGCAGAGGTTGAAATCTGTGATAACTTGGAGCAGACTTCGTACAGCTGATGCGGGGAAAGTGTGTTTTCCAGGATGCTGGACCACAAATATCACAGTCCCTGACTTTTGGCTATGCAGGCAAGGGCTAAACAGTCCCTAGAAGGCTACAGGCTCTCCCTCCCTGGAGGCAACCTCCAGAGATCCCACGGGCAGCACGTGCCTGTCCTAGACCCTAGTGCAATAACTTGGAGCAGACTTCGTACAGCTGATGCGGGGAAAGTGTGTTTTCCAGGATGCTGGACCACAAATATCACAGTCCCTGACTTTTGGCTATGCAGGCAAGGGCTAAACAGTCCCTAGAAGGCTACAGGCTCTCCCTCCCTGGAGGCAACCTCCAGAGATCCCACGGGCAGCACGTGCCTGTCCTAGACCCTAGAGAGCTAAACCTTTGTGCCCTCTAGCAGCCAAACAGAAAAACTGGAGAAGTGGGGCGGGGGGGTGGTGTCCCAGGTTCTGTCGAAAAACATGGCCAAATTGGCCTTTAGATTAGAAGATAAGAGGGATCTCCTAAGCCAAAACTTCTAGAGTGGTGATGGGTGAGTCTCCAGGTTGCCAGGGAGATGCCTCTGGATGTCAGCCGGGGCCCTGTTGCCAAACCCAGGCTTTACAACCACCACCTAGAAGCCCCTTCCCTTCCGTGTTAGCTCTGCTCTCACCAAGTTAAAACCTTCAACCTGCATCATCTTGAGGTATGTACAAATGTTGCCCTCCAAGGCCGCAGGAATCCGGGTACAAATGGCACTGGAGAGAGAGAGAGAGAGAGAGGGTTGGTTCACTATCAGATTATTGACACGGGATCGTCTTGAATACAGCCCTTTCCCTTTTTTACTTAAGGGAATTCAATACAGGATTCATGGGGACCTACTCATCTGGGAAGACGTCAGAGCTGCCTATTCCTCCCATCCCTGAGGAAAGGTACTTTTTTTGGCCACATCAAAATGAATGAGAATTGCCACAGTCCTAAGTGCCTCCAAGAATGGCAGTTCTCCTTTAAAACAGATACAAAGACACCCCCTCCACCCCCTAGGATTTTAAGTTTTTAATATTCCTGCTCTAAGGGCTTTACAAAACAGGAAGCATATTTCCAGATTCTTCAGTTGGGGGGGGGTCGGGAGGGGGAAGCACAGCTATTGTAGACCAGAAAAAATTAGCCTCTGGAGGTTTTTCCACTCCAGATTCCACAACCACCACCCACAGAAGAAACAAGACAATGTGAAAAACTCTGAACTCACTAGTAGGTAGCAGTAGGTTGTTTTGCACTCCGAGACTGAATGTAGAAATTGTGAGCGTCACGAATTGTACTCTGACAACTTGAAAGCAGAACAAGTCCAGAACTTTCTCTGTAAGAAGTTTTTTTAAAAAAATCTTTTATATCAACTTCATCATTTATGTGAAACATACCTATCACATCTCATTCTACGGACAAAGCATGGAAAGAGATTTGCCCAGAACCATTCACAGTAAGCTCATTCTCCCTCTGCTTACCCAGTTTTCTCTTTCTCTCTCTCTGTCTCTCACTCATGTGATTTTTCAGGATGCTCGTAATATAAGCCTTACCCCCAAAATAAGCCCTAGTTAAGCGAAACGCCGCCCTCCGCCCTTGTGCAGCAACCAGAAGCTGACATGACTGTATTTGAATAAATGTAGATTGTTCTACATGGAAAAAAAATAAAACATCCCCTGAAAATAAGCCCTACTGCGTTTTTTGGAGCAAAAATTAATATAAGACCCTGTTTTATTTTCGGGGAAACACTATAAGAGTTTAAGCTTGATTTGACCTTGTACCCACTTTGTCTTCCTGGTCATCCACAGTATCCACAAAGTTCTCTCACGACACAACATTTCAGACAAGTCTATCTTTATTTCCCCCCCCTGTCAGTTGTTTTCGCTGCCCATCTTTAATCAGGAATACCACAGTATGAATGATTTTATGTTTTTGGCTTTGCTCCTTACTCTTAAGGTCTTTTCTAGTTCCTTCATGGCTGCCCTTCAAAGTCACAGTCCTGTTCTGACTTCTTGGCAGCAGTCTGTATTTTGGCTGATGTTTTGAGGCAAGATATAGAAAATATGTGACAATTTTGATTTCTTCATTGAGAACATTAAGGTCACACAATTCTTCTGCGGTCATTATCTTTGCCTTCTTAATGTTTTGTAGTCCTATTTTTGCAATTTATTTTTTTATCCTTCATAAAGTAGCATTTCACGTTGTTGCTATTTTCTGGCACTTGCATTTCACAGTGTTGCTATTTTCTGCCAGTGATGTGCCACCTGCATGCCTCAAATTACTGATGTTCCTGTTACCAATTTGATCTCATCCTTTATTTGAATTTATTACAAATTTCTGTTCTGCATACATATTGAATAGGGCTGCAAATTACACCTTTGTTTCACACCTTTGGAAAGCATTCTGTTTCTTCATACAGTGGTGCCCCGCTTGACGTAAGATGACGAAATCACTTTACGATGACTTTTTTATGATTGCTATAGAGATCGCAAAATGATGTTTCTATGGCTTTTTTTGCTTTACGTCAATTCGGCCCCTGCTTCGGGAATGTTTTTTTGCTGGACGACGATTAAAAACACTTATTAGCGGTTCTCAAAATGGCCCCCCGCTGTTTTCCGGACCTATTTTCGCAACACAGTGATTGTAAAATGGCTGCCCATGGCTGGAGGATCTTCGCTGGACGATCAGGTATTTTCCCCCATTGGAACGCATTAACCGGTTTTCAATGCATTCCAATGGTTTTTTTCCGCTTGACAACGATTTCGCTTAACAGCGATTTTCCTGGAACTGATGATCGTCGTCAAGTGGGACACCACTGTATTCTGCCCTCACAGTAGTCTCATCTAGAGTAAGTGGGCCCTCTACTTACGCCCTAGTTACAAACGTTTCAAGTTACGAACCCAATCTCATAGAAAACAACAGGCCCTACTTATGAACATGTAAGTTATGCATCAGGACAATTAAATGCTGTCATCTATCCATCATTTTTAAAAGAACAATCCACAGCTTTTCATGATCCATAAATCTATAAAGCACAAATTCATTTTTCTCTAACATATTTTGCTGTGTTCTAGTAATATAATAATCCCATGCCATCAAGTCGATTCTGACTCATGGCAAGCTTTTCCATGTTTTTCTACATAGAGAATACTCAGAAGTGGTTTACCATTCCCTTCTTCTGGGAGTGCCCTGGGACTGTGCAGCTTGCCCGAGGCCACCCAGGCTGGCTCTTATCCCAGGAAGCACAGTGAGGAATCAGACTCCCAACCTCTGGCTCTGCAGCCAGATACCTAACTCACTAAGCTATCCAGCCAGCTGTGTTCTATTAGTTAGTGCATATATGCAATATGCTATCTAGTCCTTCTTCCTTCCTTAAATCCAGTGTCCTATGCTCTCATTCCACATATGATAAAACCTTCATTGTTGCAAAATCTTGAGATCAGTTTTGTCAGGGTATAGAATTTTATAGGCCTGAACCCATATATGTTTCATTAACGAGCTGGTGAGGGAGGCGGGGAAAGAGCGAAACTTGAACTTTCAGTTAACCGTTGGCCAGCAAAGAGGGTGGTTGTCTGCTTCCTTGCTCTTCCCAGCATTTACAGAGTGGATAGAGAGACAGTCTTCGGACTGCCTGGTACTGGTACAGTGCCGTACAGACAGTACATTACAGTACAGTATTCTAATTTCAGCCAGCTGTGTTCTATTAGTTAGTGCATATATGCAATATGCTATCTAGTCCTTCTTCCTTCCTTAAATCCAGTGTCCTATGCTTTCATTCCACATATGATAAAACCTTCGTTGTTGCAAAATCTTGAGATCAGTTTGCTTGCATGAAAAGGTAACATGATGGCTTCTGCAAACTTTGGCATATCCTGGGATCAGAACATTAAAACATTTCCAGGCTATGGACTATTATTTCATTTTCCTTATATGCTGGCATAATTTTGTTAAAATTTTGATAGCTTCTATGTCTGCAGCTGTGAATAATTCTTTTAATATCCCATCTGCTCCCAATAGTTTATTTTTTTCCAGTTGCTCTGGAGAGTAGCTTTCACATCACTTTCTAAAATGACATATTCTTTATCAGTAGTTTTCACCCAAACTTTGCCTCAGCTACTTACTTTCCAGCTGCTCTGATCACCTGGAGATCCCGTGGGAGGTCCAGCTTCTGGCTTAGATCTGGTAGAAGAGACAGCAAAGTCAGCTCTTCTGGTCTGCCTTTTGTTAGGATGAAAAAAACAAAACAAAACTCATCAATGCCACCAGAGCCTAACTAGGGACCTAGTATTTACTTCTCTATTGCCCCCAACCTGTTATGTCTCCAGCAACTAAAACATATTTGCAGTATATTACAGTCCTCACTGATCTTTGCAACACATGTTTCCTTTTTTAAAAAAATGTTAATAACAATAACAAGACTTACTTTCCATTGCCTCCCACGTCAATCTTTGGTGCTATATTCTAATTCAACCATTCTCAACAGGGGCCCTCTAGGGGGTCCTGGCACATTTGAAGGGGGCCACAGACTAGAAACAATTCTTCACACGCCACCTTATAAGGTTCATTATGAGACGCATACAATCCTCATTCAGCCTCTATTTCTTTCCTATTGTGTTTATGGCCATGGCCAAAAAAAGATTGAGAATGACTGTTCTAATCTAATGCAGATGAGAGGTGAAGGTACATGTGAATGTATTAGATTATACATTTCTAATGAAAGGTCTGTACTATTTTGTTGTAATAAAGATTCAAGAAAAAAGAAAAAAAACCCTTATAAAAACTGAAAGTACTGGGCATATTTAGCCTTAAGAAGAGTGAGGGGAGATATGACAGCAATTTTCAAATACCTGAAAGGTAGTCATACAGAGGAGGGGCAGGATCTGTTCTCGATCATTCCAGAGTGTAGGGCACACAATAATGGACTCAAGCTACAAGAAGCCAGATTTAGACTGAATATCAGGAAAACTTCTTAACTGTGAGAACAGTATGACAATGGAACTTCCTCGGGAAATAGTGAGTGCTCCAATGTTAGAAGCATCCAAGAGAAAATGGGACAACCATCTGTCAGATCTGCTTTTATATGGATTCCTGAACAGACAGTGGGTTGGGCTCGATAGCCTTATAAGACCCTTCCAGCTCAGTTATTCTATGATTCTCGATGCTTCCAGTCATTTGGCAATGATGGGAGTTCAATACAACAAATCTGGAGAGTCTTGGACTGGAAAAAGAAATCTGCACTACTCATTGTTCATGAGAGACTCTTGCCCTCTCTAACAAGAGTCTTGTTTCTTCCGTCATCCTTACCACTATTTTTACTTTGGGAGCACATCTGTCTTTGCAACAGAACTTCCTGTTCTATAATGTCTTCTAGTACAGTATATCTTCCTTGTCATACTTCCCTAAGTAAAGTGTAAAGCAGAGATATACCTGCATACCTGCCACGGGCAAACCAGGTGGTTTATTGATGGCCACAAATGAATCTGAAATACAAACAACCAGCAACATCAGAAGCAATGGTCAAGCCAAGCCTTTGTTTGTTGGAGGGAGGGGGGGACTCACATTGATAGTTTCTGCTGCAATTCAGAACACAGGAAAGCTCTGAATGGGATTCCCAATACTTCAGCAAAGAAGCTTCTGTCCTAAAGCACACCTGTCTGTTCTCCAACTCTGTGTTGCCGATTTTCAGTCTCTTTCCCCTCATATCCTTTCGACAGTCAATAGCCAAAATCCTGCTGCTGAGTTTAGTAGCTTTCCTTTAACGGGGTATTAAAATGGATAATTGTGCCTTTACTGCTTTGAACATGTTTTGGTGTTGCTTTTGTCTACCATTTCTTTAGCATGGTATCCATTTTATCCTTTTTAGTATTTGCATACTCACTGTTGTCAGGTTTAAATACTGTCTTGTAATTATGTAAGCCACCCTGGGTCCTTTTGAGGAGAAAAGGAGGAGAAAAGTGTAAGCCAAACAAACAGTTGCAACTACAGTAGGGTCAATTGAATCAATGGAACTTACTGAGGAGCTGACTCATCAAATTCCCATTGATTCAATGGGCTTACACTAGTTGCAACTTACAATACTAAACAACAGGAATTCAGCTACTGTTCTAAACATTTAGGAGAGAGAAGGGATCACATAGTTGTACAATTGTGTTTGTTCTGAGGGAGAGAGAGAGAAAGAGAGAATGGTCACTCATTTATCATAATGTGTGTATTCCAGAATACACACTCCAAATAGAAGAGAAATATGGCACAGAATTCAAACTGCAATAAACCATAATTATTTCAGCAATTAAATAAAATGGATTTAACAGAACAAACATAACAGAACAAACTGCTGAAACCTAATTTTTAGTGGGTGGGGAGTGTTTGGGGATTTTGTGTGTGTGTGCCTGTGGGTCTGGTCTCTAGGTGTCTGTGTGAATTTTGTTGTAGGGGTATACTATGTACTGTATATACTTAATATGACAATAAAATTTATTTGATTTGATAATGTTCAGCTGGTCTAGCAATTTGACAGTACAGGTAAATTATATTCTGCAAACAATTCTAAAGCTATAGAATGAATCTCAGTGCAAAGTTTGGAATCTCTTGACACATAAAGCATGGGGGGGGTGGGTATGCATACTGCCAACTCGTTTTAAATCAGGTTTTCCCCACATCTGTTTACAGCAGGTTTGTGACCCACGAAGCAGAATCAGTTTACCAGGCATGTACCATGATTCTCATAGCTCCATCTCTAGGGAGTTTACAGGGAGGCATGGAATCAGAAACTGTCTCCCACTGCTAACCCTTAACAATGGCATTCAGGGTGGCATAGTTTCTAAATCTGAGATTCCACAGAGCAATCTTCATGCTTACTAACAAAGATGCTTTGTCACCTCTTATATAGAAGGATGGGCTGCTGGACCTTACTTCAGTGTTGGTACTGTGACAATACCCCCTACCATGCCTGGAAAAAGGGCAGGAAAGGTCAAGCACAAACATTTTTTTCTTCTAACAAAGGGGTTGACATTTTACTGCTGTCATGTCCACCCCAGCACCTCCTATCCAAGGCAGTTGTATTCTTATGGCTAATTCACGTACAGAATTGTACAAGAGGATTCTATCCACCGATTAACATAATCTTCCATGGAAGCCATCTAAGCTGACAGCCATTAGAGGCAATAGGGCCAATGATCAAGACGTCCACCTCAGCACCTCCTATCCAAGGCAGCTGTATTCTTATGGCTAATTCATGTACAGAATTGTACAAGAGGATTCTATACACTGATTAACATAATCTTCCATGAAAGCCATCTAAGCTAATAGCCATTAGAGCAGTGGTGTCGAACTGTGGCCAATGACAAGAGTTGGTGGGCATCAACAGCTGGGTCCCTCCACCCCTTGCCTTTAACAATATGGGAAATAACCAAAGTGTACACACCGTCTCTGTGGATGACAGATGTCTCTAGTAGCTTCAGCAATTCCTCGCGGCTCCGTGGTTTTCCAGGCTCCAAGATGCTGACTCTGCTGAAATCCTCTGTCACTGGTTTTCCCAAGCCTTTTCCCTTTAAGACCATCTGGTACCTGGAAGAAAAGGAAAAAAAACTGTGAAAAGTGTCCCCACTGCATACCGCTCTAGCCAGCCAGGTTTAAGTTTCCTTCTTTCCATTTCACATCCTGACATCACCAGTTTTTACTATTCCACGCACTGCCGCCTGGATTGCCTCCCTTCTTGCAACAATTATTGGAAATGTTAGTCGAAATGAACATCCAGTCTCTACCAGTGAGTGACCCTGGGCTGCTAACAACAGTTCTGAATGACAGAATTGAGTGATTCCCCACTAAAGTTTTCATAGTGTGTAAGAGATGAAGAAAACAGATGCCATACAGTAGGAGGAAGTCAGAATTTTAAATATCTCTTTAGAGAACTTGTTCTTCTGACGATGGGCAAGGATCACCAGAAGGTGTAACTCCTGATGAATTCAACAGCAGACATAAAGAAAGTGTTCTTGTTTGCCTGTCTCCATGCCTCTCACAGGATACTTTGTGATACATAGCCAAAACTCTGGGGTACTGCATGTACTCTCCCTGCCACCTCCGCATGGGAGTCAACAGAACTTAAATGTAAACTTGGAGTGGGCTGCTAGGCACTTACAAAGATTTGCTACTTTCCTCAAATTTCAAATAACTAAATAACTACAACCAACCTTTCTTCTGCCTAAGCAATTCCACCAATTTCCTGGCCTATCTTCCACTTTGTTAACAAACATATTTGAGCTATACTCATCCCATCCCATCTGGAAGGACAGATCCTAAAGCTGAAGCTCCAATTCTTTGGCCATCTCATGAGAAGAGAAGACTCCCTGGAAAAGACCCTGATGTTGGGAAAGTGTGAAGGCAAGAGGAGAAGGGGACGGCAGAGGATGAGATGGCTGGACAGTGTCTGTGAAGCAACCAACATGAATTTGACAAAACTCCGGGAGAATGTGGAAGACAGGAGGGCCTGGGGTTCTCTGGTCCATGGGGTCACGAAGAGTCAGACACCTATCTTAGGATTCGTACTTCTTAACGTTAGATTACCCATGAAATAAAGAAACATTCCAGATACAGTACTTTGAGGCTTTTATGTTTACTTTTCATAATTAAGTACAGTACCATAAACAGGCTCCAGGGCTAAATCCTAGGGAGCTCAAATTAATCTGTACATATCTTTCTGTGTCGTTAAATACTAAGGTATTTAAACTGTCCATGTGGCGTTGTAGCGAGGAGAAGAAACACGACACACACACACATCTTGTAACTTCTCCAGAAAGCGCACACTGCCCTTTTCTTGGGCTCATTCTGAGGCTTCCCCTGTATCTCTAAAAAAAAAAAATACATTTAACAAGAGATGCTTCTCTTCCCCCCCCCTCCCCAATACTGCCGTGCCGGGCAGAACTCCACCGGCAGGATTTCTGCCTGCTTGTCATACACCATGACGACAGAAGCCCTGCCATGAGAAATAGATAATTCTAAGCAGGAATGGCAATTCGCTCCTCGACGCAGGTTTTACACCCAGCACACTTCCTCACGAGCCTCCTACCAGGCAAGCGTGCTAAGAGGCGCTCGCAGCCTTCCACGGACCAGGGGCCAAGGACCGGAGCGGAACATCACGAGCGACCGGAATAAAAGCAGAGAGTTCCACTCGAACGCTCGCGTGCAGAAAGATGGAGCAGCCATTTCGAAGCTGGAGGGGGGTCTGCTGGGAGATGTAGTTCTGCACGAACAAAACAGGCCCGCCTTTCACTCAATTGGTTCGTTGCCCGTTAGAGAGGGATTGTAAAGCGCCACCTAGAGGGGAGAAATAGGCAGTCCAGGCGGGCCATGAAGAAACAGCGGCATGAGGAAAGAGCGGTCGCTTTTAATAATCATAGATTCTACATCCTCCAAGGCACAGAGGAGCTTAAAGAGAAAGACTCGCTGGGGGAAGCTCAGACGAAGTATTTGCCGCGCATGCGTACCTGGCTCTACCCTGTCGTGACGTCGGCTGGCGTGCTGCCCCCTGCTTGAGAGATGGCTTCCCGCGCGGGACCTCGAGCCACGGGAACCGACGGCAGCGACTTCCGGCACCGGGAGCGCGTGGCCGAGCATTTCCAAATGAGGTGGGAGGTGGGGGGCAGTGGTGCGTGCACGCCATTGGAAAACCAGAGCCGCTCCAGGTTCTGCAACCTGCCTGCCGTCGCCGGTCCCCCTTCCGTGGCATCGAGCTGCAAAGCCCCCTCCTATAGTCATGTCCTCCCTTCGTGGGTTGTCCCTGGTTGCTGCTTCTGGAACTGGGGTGAATGCATTTGTCCCCAGCCTGGGCAGAGGAGGATTAGGAACTCCATAGGCATCCTTCAGTCTCGAGAGACTATGGTAACATGCTCTGAATGGAGGAGTGTCCTCTCCAGAGCATGAAGCCCGGGTAAGGTAATATGGAGGATAGGCTGTTACCCAAGCAGCAAATCCCCCCTCTCCACGTAGCTGAAATGGTCCAATGGAAAGGCAAGAGCCAATACAACGAACTATGCTGCCCTTTTCCATATATTCATTGATGACCTTTTCAATTTTTGATTTGGCAGCCTTAGGAGCAGGCTTCTCAATGTTTTTTAAATTGATAAGTGTTTTAATATCGTCGTGCAGAATAGCTGGCTAATCGCTGTTCTAGTACAGGGCTGGGGAAACGAGTGGCCTTCCGCTCTCATGATCCCTCACTATTGGTTGTACTGACTAGTGTTGATGGCTGTTGCAGAGCCAGCCCCCCCCCCCCG